TGAATTATACTGGGATTATAAATTTACGTGGATAGACATACACGTCCCTTTTATAGTAGATAAAGGCATATGTTTACAAGCATTGTTCTTGTTAGTAAAATTTGCCAATCAGTTGTTGAAAAGACAATTCCCGCTCAATTACAAAACAAAACAGAAGAGGGAAATCAATTACAATTTGCGTCACGCAATAGGCCATTTCCGAGTAGCCTTTTGTGGTTGTTAGTAAACGCGTAACAGAGTAACAGGTAACGGCGTAACGAGAAACCACGTAACGGGATTTTTATCTGGTTTTTTTTTTTCTGATGCTGTGGTTAATTTTTGTCATTTAAAAAGATCTAAAAATGAAAAAAAAAAACCAAAAAAAAAAACGGTATATAAAAACATGGCGCACGCTGGTTCTTGTTATAAGAGAAAACGAAGACAAAATATAATTATCTCAAGTATTAGTACGTGTAAAATTTTCTTTTAACCACGGGGAGTAGAGGAGCCAAATTCTCCTCGTGTTTCTGTTTAATAATTAGACTACGAGTCCGAATTTTCTAGGAGGGAATAGTCAACTCGGCTACTTGTGCGCCTCGTTGACTATCGCTCATAGAAAAAGGAGAGCGAGTACATGTAGTCAAATTGTGTTAGTAGACACTCTCAAATTACACCTCATAACCAACAGTTTAAGAGTTTTGTGTATTTTTAAGTCTAAAATTTAGAATAATTTTCAGTTTCAAGCGCAGCGTTCACGCAGTCGTTGTCTGTCAGCGAATAAAAAAACGATCAGAGAACCAATCAGACTCGCAGATTTCCCAATAGAACACAGCTGAGTAGCTGCTAAAACTCGATAGAAACACATCTAAGGTGTTTACATTTCTTAAATATTTTGGTACTATCTTTCCTTCAGTACGACAGTTAAAACTCGTGAAACATGTTGGTTGTAGGGTCTGAGATCAATATGGACTACCAAACAGTGCAAGTTCCTTGCTCCATCGATGCCCTGCAGTTCATATTGCAGTATCGCATGCCACAAGTTAAGGCCATAGAAAGGAAGCTCAGCGTGTATAATGCTGAAATCGATATTGATGCTCACGACAAGATTTTGGTCACGGCTAGAAGTGATGGTATTAACTGGGCTGTACAAATGGTCAACGAACTCATTGACAAAGTTGTATGTGACAGTTTTGAAATCGTGCAACCTGGCATCAAGACCTTCTGCGCCAAAGGCAGATTAGATAGCCTGCTGAGAATGGTTAAAACTGAAGAGAAATGTCACGTGGGTGTTGAAATGAAATTCCTTCACAAGCCAAATAGCTCCAATCCAAATGGGTCAGCGGCAGTAGGTGCAGGCTCGCCGTCTACAAGCTGCAGTGCAAATGTTTCGCCTGGTGCTATCGGCAACGCGGAACCGTCAGTTAATTCATCAGTTGTCTTCGTTACCCCTCAAGGGCACAAGATCTCATGGAAGATTGGAGACATTGCAACAGAACAGGTTTGCTGTTGATGCTTTTTGCTATGATTCTTGCTAATGTTTGATACCTACATGTACACTTTTACTTCATTGCATACACAGCTACTGAGAAACCTGGGATCAGTTTTAATTTATCCGTCCCGTTTTCCGGCTCTAACCCAGTGGTTGACGTCTGGTGAACACTAAATCTGTTTGGCTACTACAGGTGCTGTCTGTTTACCAGTTAGCCAGCCAGCTCGAAGTTACTGCCCAATTAGAATTTTTGAGTGAAGAGAGGCACTGAGACAGCGCGGTTTCTCAGCCAAGAACATTGACCGCATTAATACTAAATAGCATAATTTCGATGTTTACATGGTTCCCCTAATTTGGGAGAGGCGGTGGCCCCATGGTTAGTACGCTCGACGCCGGATCGAGCGGTCCGGGTTCGAGCCCTGGCAGGGGACGCTGTGTTGTGTTCTCGGCAAGACGCTTAACTCTCACAGTGTCTCTCTCCACCCAGGGGGTGTATAAAAAGGTACTGGCGAATGTACTGCTGGGGCTAACCCCGTGATGGACTAGTATCCGATCCAGGGGGGAATAGAAATACTCCTAGACGCTTTATGCTATACAGAAACAGGATATTAACGCCACTGAGTCTGGTGGGTCACTTGGCTCGAATGCAGATTTTACCTTTTTACGTTGGTTACCCTAAAAGATCTAAAAAATATATAATTCTTAAACCTGCGTTCCTTTCTACTTGAATGTTTTAGTAACCTGGACCTAATTGCTACATATCATTCCATTCCAGGCGCACACGCTTGTTAGTCCTCAAGGTGTTTGTTCAGAAGCTATTTTCTCTGCCGCCGGACCCAACATTTCCAAAATCTATCAAGCTCCGCAACCAGGAGAAATAACGATAACCCCAGGGTACCTGTTGGCTTGCAGTCACGTGATTCACACGTGCTGTTCTAAATGGGATGGAGGCCATGGGGAAGCGGTAAGTGACATTGAAGATCAAGGCCATGTATACACTAAGCTGAGGAAATTTGAAAACGGCGTTTTCACTCTGAAAACGCATCAAATGTTTACCGTCCACACTACGCCGGAGAGATTTTACAGTCACAGGTCATTTTGGATTTGTGTTTGAGGAAAACTCGCGCGGTGAAATCACATGATTGTTAAGACCTCATCCTTTTCGGAAAGCTCCGCTAAAAGTGTTTTCCGTCCGCACTGAAACGCAAAGCAAGCGTTTTCAAATTCCTCCGGTTTTTAGAGCGTTTTCGGAAAGCTCCGTTTTCGTGGCGGACTAGTGTGGACGGGCCCAAGAATAGGTTAAGGAAGATAAATAAAATGCAAGACCATGGTGCTTTTCCTGATCGCTTCATCGCCCTGTGTAACCCTCCCGGGAGTATAATTCGAGGGCCTTGGTGTAAACTGACTTTCGTTGATAGTATTCTGTTTCTCGTGTGTGACCTGTACGTTTATTCCTGCGATATTCATAAGGTATTTCTACTAAACGATTAAGGAAAATAAAAAAAACCGATATTACTGCTAATTATATCTAATCGTAATTTTTTTGGTACGCTTCGTCGGCATATCAGGCTGGTATGGTCGAGCCATGTTTGACATGTTTGGTATGGGAGCCAACATACCCATGGCGAGACCAAACGAGCCTGATATGCCGTCGAAGCTTACCAAAAAAGTACGATTAGTTATTTACCGTACTCAAATTCCTCCGAGTGACCATGATATCGTAGCCATATAAGGTCAGTGACTTGTTATCACAGGACATCAGGACAGTAGACACGGCTTCTGATTGGCTAATTGCGAATTTGGGTCAGGTAAATACCAGATAATCAGCGTTATTATTAATTTTTTCAAATTCCAAAAACACCATTTCCCAAATAACAAACCAAATCAGATTTCATAGCACTGCACAGTATTTGCTAATTTCAAGTGGCATGTTTCTGTTATGTGATATAGTTTCATTGTACGTCATTTGCTCGTTCCAGACTCTGAGGTCCATTGTCCGAAAGTCTCTTGCCAAGGTTACTGAGCTTGGAGGAAGTTCCGTCGCCTTTCCTGTGATTGGAAGCGGAAAGTTAGCCTTTCCTCCACAAGAGTCGTCGTGGATCATGTTGACCGAGGCATTGAAGTTTTGCCAAAGGAATCCACATTCCTTGGTGAAGGACATTCGTTTTGTTTTGTTTCACGGAGATCAAGCAGTTATTGATGCCTTTAAAAAGGAAAGTGACAATTTGCAAGCGGAAAATCGTCAAGTTGTGGAGGTCGTCCAAGGTGATTTGTCTCAGGAGACAACAGACGCCATCGTTAATATTATTGGCACGGACATGAATATATATGGAGCGGGAGAGTTAGGCAAAGCAATAGCCAAGGCCAGCGGTGCTCAAGTGGAGGACGAGTGCAAAAGACTGGGCCAGCAGCCACCTGGATCAGCTGTGATGACAACTGGCGGGAACCTGGCAACGCCGAGCATAATTCATATGGTTGTAGGTTCCTCGACAAAGCAACATCTCCAGCTTTGCGTGGAAAAATGTCTTCAGCTAGCAGAGGCGAATGGTCTGAAGACGATCTCACTTCCGGCGGTTGGGACTGGGGCTGGTGGACTTTCGGAAGTGGACTCGGCCCAAGCAACATTCCAAGCTTTGAGGAACAATTTAAAAAGCTGCGTAAACTTGCGTCAAGTTAGAATAGTCTTATACCAAGCTAAGTTCATGGAGGCTTTTCAAAAAGAACAGAAACTCATGCAACAGCAAGAAAATCAACAGCAAGTTTCCATAAGTCCATGTCCCGTGAAAACAGAAGAACCGCCGAGAAAGAAGCCACGCATGACCCAAGATGGCGTGCAGGATCCAAAGAACAAAAACAGAGTGATCTTTTATGTCAGCGGCCCCAGCAAAGCAGCTGTCAAGAGAGCTACTGATACACTGAATCGAGGGCTCACGGAGGCATTTACAACCCAAAAGGTTGAACAACGAGCTATAGGCCAGCTCTCCAAGAAAGAGGTCGCTGGTCTCCAGAAACGGGCTCAGAATCATGACGTCAAATTGGAAATTAACCAACCCGTGAATCGAATTCTTGTCCATGGTGAACACAGTGGTGTGGCAGAAATGGTCGGTAAGATCTGGTGCCTCCTTAACAAAAGAACAGAACAGAACAGGGCCAGTGAGCCCGCAAAACTGCCAAGTAAGTCCGTAAAGTAATCAAAATAACTGCATCAGTAAGATTGGGCTGCAGTGGGTCCTTCACGTAAACAGAATGTATAGCTTAATCAGCAAAACACTCGTCTCTTAGTTATGATAGGGTTACAAAGCACTTTACTATCCAATGTAGATTGGTTGATTTCATCTCTTATGTCAGTGGTATCACTGCAAGACGAAATAAACCCGTACCGAACCTCTGTTTTATGTTTTCGTATTTTAGCTGCATCACTTCCAACAAACTGGGACCCAATGCCTCGCAACCAAGCTGGAAATGACGTGACTGTTCACACCGTTCAACTATCTCCCTTGTCACGAGAGTACCAGCAAGTCACCTTAAAAATTCATCGGAATGGATGGTCGGCGACCATTGCGAGTATCGAGCGCATACAGAATCCTCATCTTTACCAGGCTTATCAACTTAGAAAGTCTAAAATGGATAAGGACAATGGAGGAAACAATGAGAGGCAGCTGTTCCATGGGACAAATCCCGAGAGCGTGACGAACATCAACACTCAAGGATTCAACAGGAGCTTCTCTGGGCTAAATGGTAATAAACAATACCCTCCATTTGGCGCGAAAATATGCACGGATATTTGTCCACGGGCATTATCTGTTCCGAGAAGCGAACAGTTAACTGTGAGCTTTGAGGATTGTGTTTATTATCTTTCAAATATTTTTCGCAACACGCGTAGTTTTGAAAATTGGCAAATATCACTCGGATATTCCCCAGTTTTAGTTGGGGAATATTCAGTAGCGTGACGCGTTTAGACCAATCATGTGAGAGCGAAAATATTTGATGGATTATAAGGGCAGTTATACACTATAAGGGGCGAGAATACGGCATTTATAACCCCTGGAAAATTCCTCAATAACGAGTGTCGTTGATCATGTACATATATCAAACACCAAAGACAGTGTTTGACCACATTTCCAAACACCGAGAAGAGAGTTGAGAAAATACGACTCGCAGCGGAGTATTTTCGACGAATTATTAATGACATTGAGGAGTATATGGTAATCTGCATAGCGGGGACATTCCGGCGAAGATTCTTTTTGAGAAATTGAAAAAACTAGCACCGCCAAACAAAGTACTCAGCAATACATTAAAGTGAAGATTGTATCAAACAAGATATTACCATAGTTAACAATTAGATTGTGAGCTCGAGATTTCTATCGCGTGAATGTTGACGAAGGCGCAGCTCGAGTCAAGTATCACGCATAGAAATCGAGAGCGAATAATCTAATAAATCTACTAGTCATTCAAATTATCTAAATCCTCTTCATACTTCATAGACAAGAAGCGGCCGCCAGTTCGTTAACAAGCGCACACTGCTGCGCTATCCATTATCTGCAACAGAATAGATAGTGAGTAGTGTAGCCAATCAGAGAACGACATTCATGACAGAACGCTAGTAGATTTACACTAAATAAGAATACATGTCCAGAATAATTCCTGATTTGCGGCGAGTTCTTTCCGCTCCACCTAACGATATCCAAATAACTGGGAATAATAATCACGAATATCGGTACTTCTTATTAGTAGTGTCTTGTTGGAAGGTTCCCACTGGGGAGGGGGAGATCCTCAGAGGGAAGGGGAGGGTCCTCACAATTTTGCGTGTGTATCTCTTGATCAAGGTTTTACTTTTTTTTTAATCTCTCTTGATTTTTGGTTTATTTTCTGCTTATCAAAGAGTTTGAATCTTACTAACATTCTGTATTTGATTTTCCAGTAGGAGCCGCTTTCGGTAAAGGAGTTTACTTTGCAAGAGATGCAACATACTCTTATCTTTACGCCACTAGAAGTGGGGCTAGTGTTGGCAGCCGATGTATGTACCTTTCCAGGGTCCTGGTAGGGGAGTATTGCAAAGGAAATGAAAACATGATTGTGCCTCCTGCAAAAGACCCTTCACGGCCAGAAATTTTGTTTGATTCTGTGGTAAATGACGCTGGAAATCCATCAATCTTTGTTGTGTTTTTTGACAATCAGTGTTACCCTGAATATTTGATCAAGTTTTAATATAGGTTTGTAATGTGAACGTTTAATGCTTTATATAATTGTTATTATTAATTGTACAGTAATAACCAAGGTAAACGATGCTCATTGTATCAAGTATATAATGTGCATGTTTTAATCCAAAGAGAATTATTTCCTTGTTACAGGTTTTAAGTTTTTAAGGTAAATATTTTT